CTATAAATTGAAGAGGATTCCAGACCGAGTGAGAGGGAGTTAGCACAACGTGTTGGTGTGGCGAGGAGGAAAAACACGCTGAGTGACGACCAAAACAGGCACTGAACCCTGAGGCAGGCTGGGCACGGGGTGTGCTCAGCCCGGCCACGGCCCCAGCGGCGGCGCCACAGGCCCGACTACAGGTGCAATGTGCACGACCCGGGCTCTGGCCCTGGTGCCCTGCCTGGAAGGCCTTTCTTACATTCTTGACCACAGCTCGCTCGAAGCCCAGTGCAACTGTGGCCCCTCCTTAGTAAATCACTCCCTGAGGAGGGCAGTTCCCCAGGTCACTCCAGAGCCTTTGGACAGCACTGGTCTCCACCATTTGACCAGACTGCGATTACCTGCCTGCCCACCTCCCAGGCTCCGCTCCCAGGGACAGGGACTCTCATGGCCTTCTCTCAGACAGCCCTCAAGACACAAGGGCAGCACAGCAGGCCCCTCTGCACACACCTGACAATCACAGCAGCCCCATGAGGCAGTGACTGTCATCACTCCCACGTGACAGGTGAGGATGCAGACTCAGAGGGGTTAAGTTACTCACCCAAGACCGCACAGGCAGTCTGGCTCCAGAGTCTGCCTGTCTCTGCTGGTACTGCACTGCCTCAGACACACTAGGCATTCGGTGACGGTTTGTTCCATAGAGCGGTACGGAGGGAGGAGGTGTTGCCACACCCCAGCCACCTCCACCCCAAATCCCACCTGGAACCCCTTGGCCCAGGTCTCCCTACTTCTCGCCCGGCCTTCCCTCACTCCTGACATCTAATCCTTCCTTCCTCTAAACAGCTCCAGGTTCTCTTCCCATCTCCCATCCATTGCTTCCTTGGGTGTGGCAGCAGGGCTGAGCTGAGACCCCCAGAGGCCTCACAGCAGGGGATCTGTTCAGAGGCAGGATCCTGCCCTGGGGCTAGTGCCTCCCATGGACTGCTGTTACCTCTGCCTCAAGCAAGAAAAACCAGCACTGAGAGTAGGGGTCTGGAGGGCAGCACCTGCCGTCCCTCCCTCCCGGGTCCCTGGCTGACCCTGCCACTGCTCTCTGGACCGAGCCTGGGTGGGGGGTGTTCCTAGGGCCACAGAGAAGAGACAAGTGGCCCTTTGTGTCGGCACTCCTGGGACACCTGTTTGCCCGCCCGCCTGTCCTTGTGCAGGGCCTGCGTGTGCAGGGTCGGGCCATGCGCGGGGCTTGTGTGTGCGGGGCCTGCGTGTGCACGGCACCAGCCCACGTGCAGCCATGTGGATCCTGCAGCCGCGGCAGCCAGGCCCAGCCTGCGCTTGGCGTGGCGCCCCTGCCAGCTCCTGCCCGGTCCTGGGCGCTGGGAGGCTCCTGCTGTTGACACAGTGTTGATTTTTGGGAGGACGGAGAGGGAGGGGAGGGAGGAGAGAAGTGGCAAAGCGTGTTGGCCCCAGCTCTCCTGCGTCCCGCGCAGCCGCCAGGTGAGGCTGGCTTCCAATCCCTGGGTCACTTGGGCCACACACCACACTATACCTAAGCCGCTTAAACCGACAGCACCATACCACAGGCAGCCTGCACACGCCCCATAATGTACCACAAAACCCATGCTCCCCCATGTTGGCACACACAACTCATGGCTGAACAAGGCCTCTGGGTGCCAGGAGCCCTTAGTCACCCTGTTTTCGAATGCCCGCCACTCCTGCCCCCAAGTCATGACACTCCCAAGGTCCTTGGTGAGGGACGGGGCCATCTGACATGCCCTTGGAGACCCAGGCGGGGCCCCTGGGAGACATGGGGGGGATCTGCCCTTACAAGTTTCTCTTCTCTCTGACTTGTTCTTGCCAGGCCATCTCCTCCTCACCCTCCAGGTCTTTATGTTTCCTCTTACGGGGAGCCTTCCCTGACTGCCCAGATCTGGTGGTGGTGCTCTCCTTGGTGCTCAGAGCACTCCACCCTGTGCCTCCCACGCTCAGCGTCAGGCAGTGTAATGGATTATTCACGTCTCATCATCTTCCTCAAAACTGTAGGGCTGCAACACAGCAGGGCAAAGCCCGAGGCAGACGCTCCCTACGTGTCTGCTGAGTGGATGGGTGAACCGGCAGCCCCACAGACCCACAACCATGCTGCCTCCACCGCACGTCCCGCCCTGACAGCCACCTCCTGGGTTAGTGAGGCCCGTGCTGGTTCACAGGCCCATGTGCTTCGGGAATTACCTGTGACTTTGCCGCCAGCATTACACATTGTTGTAGTACTTTTGGAAACTACAGAAATAAGAGCCACTTTTTTTTTTTTGGTGATCAAGACGGGCCCTGAGCTAACATCTGTGCCGGTCTTCCTCTATTTCGTATGAGGGAGGCCGCCACAGCATAGCTTGATGAGCAGCATGTAGGTCTGCACCTGAGATCCGAACCCGCCAACCCTGGGCCGCCAAAGGGGAGTGCACGAACTTAACCACTGTGCCACTGGACCAGCCCCACGCCACAATTTTTAAGCAAGAAGTCAACTGAAGATGTTGGTCGAGGATTGGGCACCCCAGCTCCTAGTGTTGGGGACGGGTCTGTGTGGCCTGCTCTACCCCTGGTCTCAGACTGCCCCCACCCTCATCCTGGACTTCCAAGGAAATCCCCCCACTCTGGCTGCTCCTTCAAATGGCTGGACCTGGATGCCCTGGCACCCACCTCTGACTCAACTCAGTACAGGGCCTGGGATTGGCAGCGGGCCCCTCCCGCCAGGCCAAGGAGTGGGACTCACCCCAAGGTTCCCACCCCTTTGTGGGACCAAGGCCCTCTGAGAACTATTCTCACCCCATCCTGTTCCACAGGCTGCACATTCCATCTGAGTCAAGCAGGGGCGGGGCCAGGGGAGGTAAGGCTGAGGGGAGAACAGTCTGGCCTCCTCTGGGGCGGATCCCCAGGGAGCTCCAGGCCTGGAGGGATTACAGACCTAAACCCCCAGGGGAAGGGAGCCCACATGCTCCTGCCCAGCCCGAGCCTCTCCCAGTTCTCCCCTGCGCAGCCGAAACACTGAAACCCTACCTCGGACGTGTCCCCAGAAGACACAGGGGGACGATGTGCTGGGCAACAGTAAACCCCTCCCCCCAACCGCCCACAATCCCCAGGGCTGCTCCCGGGGCTTCCTGCCAAGGCCATTTAAATGCTAAGGCCACTGCTGGGGGAAGGGAGCCTGAAGGCCCTGTGTATCAGGGGAACTGAATTCAGATTTGATGGCATGTGTCAGGCTTCCCAGTGGCCTAAAGGGCCTGGGCAGTAGATGCTGCTTAGGTAAACAGGGGGCAGCTGGAGATACTGACCCCACTTCTTCCTTCCTCTCTTCTAGGACCCCAACACACCCCCTCCTCAGAGACACTCCTGACTGGAACCCCCGTTCTTTAGGCACAGCTCTCAGCCCCGCTGCTCTCCTAGCCTGTCCCCACGTGCACACTTGTGCTCTGAGATGCAGGACCACACACAGCACATCCCTAGAGGTGCCCGGGCCTTGGATTTACCCACGGATGACCTTGGGAGGAGGCAGGGGAAACCCCAGCCACCCCCTCCTCACCTCCTGCATCTCAGGTCTGACCACTGTAGCTGTCCTACCCTGGGTCCCCCCAGGCCCTCCCTGAGGGCACCACAGGAGGGCCTCTGGCTCCTCCCAAAAGAGGCAGGTCACAGGAGCAGAGGGGTCTTCCTAAAGCAAGGGCAAGAGAGCCCGGAACGTGCCCGGAGTAATCGGTGGTCACTGGGGGGTCTATGCTGTGGACCACGCAGGGTGGACAGAAACCTGTTCCCAGGAGAGGCCCAAGGCCTTCGCCGCCCTGAGGCTTAAACAGGGCCGGACGGTCCCCTGGGTGTCTGCCGAGGTCTCTGGCACAGAGCAGGCTCTGGGGCTGAACTGGAGGCCACAGCCCACACTGAGGGGGGAACTGCCACATCCCTGCTGCTCAAAGAAAGGACTTGGATTTTTCAAAGAAACAGAGTCACTCCTGATCAGAGAAGCTGGCGGAGGGTGAAGCCACCTTCAAGCTGTCAAGGCCCTGTCAGGCTGGCCTGTAACAAGTCTCCTGATCAAGTCTTCCCAAGGAGCTGGAAGGAGGACCAAGGAAGGGGCCGTCAAAATGGGGGTCACCAGGCAAAGACCCCCATTCAGGGCATGGCTTCCTGCTTGGGAGCAGGGAGACAGGCAGGCGACAGGAGACGTGAAAGCAGTCTCTGTGGGTCCTTGTTCCCCACCTGGTGACAGGCACTGTGACAGCCTTCCTGGCTAGCACACACGGGTTCCAGAAAGGGGACCAGCAAAGGGGAGGATCCCAGCGAGTCCTGGCAGGAGCGAGCCCTCTTAAGCAAACACTGAGGACGAGTCATTCCCGCCACAAGCACTTCGCACTGTCAGGCCGGCAGGGGGGCGGGCCCACCAGCACAGCCCTTCCAAACACTCAGCTTGCCCCTGAAGACGGCTTGGGGGAGGGGCGTGCAGCAACTTTTCCCAGGGGCGTGGGCTGCCCGGCGACCTCCTCAGGGAGCTGCCCAATAAGGGCCAATCTCAAAGCAGCCCAGGAGGAGAAAAGCTGTGTAGAGTCAGCCCGTCCAGGGCAGGGACACCTGGACCCTCAGGAGGAGGCCTGGCTCTAGCGAACGCTTCTCCGGCAACAGGAAACCCAGACCCTGGCCACTCCTGGGCGCTGCTGTGGACACAGCAGATGTAAGCCACCCAAGTTCTCAGAGGTAAGTAGTGTCGCTGCTATTGTCCCATTTCACAGACAGAAAAACAGAGGTTCAGAGATGTCATGTGGCGAATCTCTTGCCTGGCTCTGAATCCTTCTTACTGTATACATCATGTTGCTCCCAATCTGCTAGCTGTCAAAGTAGCAGAATGTTCAGGATGGAGCTCTGCCCGCTAGGAGGAACGAGGGGGATAAGGATGTAGCTGGAAGCAGAGACCTTTCCACCGCCAAGGCAGCACTCGAAATCGCCCTTCCCTGTTATGATCCCGCCACTCCTGACCACGGAACCTGAGTTGGGGGTGGAGCGTCGTCTGCAGGCAAGAGCAGAGCCAGAGTGTCAGGTAGGGAATGAGCCTGTTGCTTCTCCCTCCAGAACAGCCTCCCTTCGAGCCACTGCATCCAAGGCGTCGGTTCGGAATCAGCCTCCGAGCCGGCCTGCTTCCATTCCTGCTTTCCCTTTCAAGCTGCTCTCCAGTTAGCAGCCGAAGCAATCTTTTTAACATTTTTTTCCACTTATAAAAGCAATTCATGACCATTGTAGAAGACTGGAAAAATCAACAGAAGATAAAGAAGGAAATAAAAATCACTCGTCCGTCCAGGATCCAGAATTAACCTCAGCAAACATCTCAAGGCAGCCTTCTAGTCTTCTCTCCACGTACGCGCGCATGATGGGCGTAGGTATGCATATAGTGTACCATACAGGTTTATATCTTTGTCTTCTTATTACATACATATTCCAAGTTATAAGCTATTCTTTTTTAACTACTTTTTGGTTTTGGGGTTTTTCGGCATAGTTGATATAAGTACACGGTACTACATTCAGAAAGGACGCAAAGATCTACAGAGAAAACACCTTTTTTTCTCCATCCCATTCCTCAGTCACCATTTCCCTCCCCGGGGCCATTCTGATAACCATTTCTTGGGTACCAAATAATCTTTTAAAATCATAAATCAGATCGTGTCACTCCCCTGCTTAAAACTCTCCGATGGCTTCCCATTGCCCTGGCCATAAAATCCAGGCTCTAACCAGTCCCACCAGGCCCGGGTGACCAAGCTCCGTGCTTCTCCCTTTGCTCCATCTCCCCGTCCAGCCACACTGCTGTGGAGAACCCCGCTCTGGCCGCAGGGAGTTTTCATGTGCTGTTCCTTCTGCCTGCAATCCTGTCTGCAGGTTGTGTGCCGCTGGCTCCGTCTCATCCATCAGGCTTCGGCTGAGCTGTCCTCTCCCCAGGGTGGCTTTCACTGGCCTCCCAACCTAGGCGCCCCCCCAACCTGTACCCCCACCCACATTCTCTGTCCCATCACCCTGTTGGATCTCTTTCACATCACACAGGATCTAACACTGTCTTGGTTACTTATTATAAAGTTATTTATTGCCCGTCTCCTCCCACTAGAAAGAAACCTCCCTGAAGGCAGGCACCTGCCCTCTCTGGTTCACGGGAAGCCCTGCCCCTAGCCCGGGGCCGGCACACAGCAGGCAGTCAACAGACTTCTGTGACAGGAGGGAATGTGGCGACTGCAGTGCTGGTCCTCATCACCGACAACAGCCCAACTGTGGGTCTCCGAGCACTAAGAACCAACCTTCCGGCCATCCCCCATGTCTAGGGTGGGGGCAAGGTCAGAGAAAGGAGAGAGGAGCCCATTGTCCAAGGCAGCGTTGCAGGGGGCAGCAGCCTGCTCTTCCTCCCTGTCACCCTGTTGCCCAGTGAACCCCTTACTTATGCTGTGCACGTGCAGAGTCCAGAATCAGACAAGGAGCTTGTGACAAACCCAAATTCCTAGAAACTACTCTTTAACTGCAAGTGGAAAGTTGAAGGTGAAACTTTTGCCCCTCACTTACCCCAAATCCCACATCCAGCCTGCCCAGGCAGCTGAGATCTCCCCGGTTCCCAAGTGAGCCCCACTGCAGCAGGTGACAGCCACGCCACCCAGGGAGCAGAGCCCCAGGGATCAGCCCCAGCCATCCCACCCGAGGCCCTAGGCACCTGGCTCCCCCTTTAGAAATTCACCCAGCCCCAGAGACACAAGTGCACATCCAATCTCAAACCAGCAGCGCAGGCCAGGACACTCAGGGGACACCCTGCTGCAGACGCTTCCTTCCTGGGGCCTGATTTCCACTGAGAACACTGCAGTCAGGCCAAGACGGATTTTTAAGAATGAGGAAAAGCAGAGTCACGTGCCTTTCACAGACATTGTGAAGGGAGGGAGGGTGTAAGGGAAAAAAGAAAAAGAAAAGAGACTTAGCAAGACGGAACTAGACCAGGAGTAGGGAGGATCTGGGAAGCCAAACTCAGGAAAGGGTGTGAAGAAGAACAAGGATTCCTCCTCCCAGAACTGGACAGCTTCTGCTAACTGATGAAATGAGCACAACCCCAAGTGCTCTCGCGGGCTCTATGCAAGGTCACTAAAGTCGTAATGACAATAACAGCTCCCACCTCTCCAGCACTTACCCTACGCCAGGCACTGCTCTATGAGCTCTGCTTTACTAAGACTTGTAATCCTCAAGACAACCGCAGTACACTGTGCTGCCATATTAAACCCATTTTACAGGTGAGCAAACAGAGGCACAGAGGAGTAGGTTAAATACCGACAGTGGCAGCATCTGGGGTCTAACTCCAACCCCAGCTCTTAACCTCTAGGCTACCCTTGGCTTCAGTGGCCCAACCAGGGGGTCCCCACCCTCCTGAATTCATGCTTCCCAATCAGTATCCCTGAACATCAGCCAAGGCGAGCTTCAAAGACGCAGGCACAACTCTGCCCATTGTGCATAGCAGAAATCTAGAGAAGTTAAGGGATCGCAGGAGCTCACACTGCCCACAGGTGGGGAATTAAGACCAAATGTGCTGAACCGCAGCATCTGGAGCGCCACTTCCTAAGGGAGCACGGTGGAAACCAGAATCTCTGGAAACTCCGCCCTGAGCAGCAGCATCTTCCGTCTTTCGCCAGATCCTTCACCAGGGCCAGCGCCCGCGCCCAGGCGCCCTGCCCGGAAATTCTCACAGAGTCAAAGCAAACTTCCCAGGAAAGCTGCTCGGCTTCCTCCTAGCCCCCGTCTCGGAGGCGCTGCCAAGAGCGCCTTCGGAGTCCTTGCAGCTGCCGTCGGCCCTCGAGGGTGGGAGCCGCCGCTCGTGTGCTCGGAGTCCTCTGGGAAAGGTCCAGGGCTGAAGTTCAAAATTCACTTCCCGCCCAGGCCCGCTCGCGGCCGCGCCCGGGACTCTCCGGCAACCCCCACGCCTCCTGCCCTCCCCGGTCGCGGCTAAGGAAGGGAGCACCTCCAGCCTGCGAGCCCCGGGCAGCAGCTGGAGAATCCCGCGGGCGATCCCGGCGCGTCTGGGGACTCCGAGCAGCCGGCGCGCACGTGTGTGTGTGTGTGTGTGTGTGTGCGCGCGTGTGTGTGCGTGTGTGTGTGTGTGTTTACGTACGGAACGCGCGGGGTGGGAAAACAATGGCGAGCCGCTGGGAACAGAGCAACTAGCCCCCCTCCCCAGCTCCCTACCCTCAGGCACGATTTGCTTTTGCCGTGAAATAAGGATGAAAAGATTCACCTCCGACGTCCCAAGGCGGGAGGCGGGGGCGGTCAGAAGGCTAGGGTGGGTGGGAGGAGGGGGTGAAGCAGAAAACAAACAGGATGCAGCGCCCGGCTGGTCCGCTGGGGAACGAACCTGGAAGGATGGGAAAGGTTGCGTGGCTGGCCCCCCGCACCCCACACAACCAGGGCGGGGAGGAGGTCTGCGTCCCGGCGCGGGCGCCCGAGCCACACGCTGGGCGCGCACAGGTCGCCTCGGCTTCCCGCTGGGAAATCCTTGAACTGGGCGCACACACAGGCTGGCGAGAAAGACCTAGTACCCCGGCCGGTCGGCGAGGAGCGGGTGCGGGGGGGCACCCCAAGCTCGGCTCGCACGGGGCGCACACGGACACAGACACACAGCCACCCACGGCCCTGCTGGACTGCCACCCCTTTCCGCAGGACCTGGGTCTGGCCGGCGTGGTTGGGGGTCGGTGGGGGTCTGGTCCTTCTCGAAAAACTTTGCAAAGGATGGAAACTCGCAGAGATGAGAGCCGGCGTGTGCCCAGAGACGTGGCGGCGCGAGTGTCAAACTTCGGAGGGCTAGGGCGAGGGGCGCGGAGGGGGCGCACTTACTACTCCGCCGGGCGCTGGGCTCGGGCTCCGCGCTCCTGCTCCTCCTCCGTCCGGTCCCCGCGGCCGGCAGCCCGGGCTTCCCGCTCACATGCCCGGCGGCGCAGCGCCTGGGCGGCGCGGCTGGGAGGGGCACGCCCCCCGCCGGCGGCCGGGGGGTCGCTCGGCACTCGGGGCCACCCTGGGTCCGCGCCCCACGACCGGCCGCCGGCCCCGGCGGAGAGCGCGGTTCCGGGCGGGCGGCGCCCTCCGCGAGCCAGGCCGCTCTCTGCCCTCTGCCCTCTGCCCTCTGCCCGCCGCCGGCTCCCTGCCTTCCGCGGCGCTCTGCCTGGCTCGCCGGCCCAGCGCCGGCCCGCCCGGCTCCCCGCTCCGCGTTCCGCGCCTCGGCTCGGTCCCGATCGGCCTCCGCGGCTGCCCGCTGCGCCCGGGCGCAGAGCTGGGCTCGCCGCTCCGGGCCGGGGCGCCAGGACCCGCGCTCACACAGTTCAGTTCCAAGCCTGGACCAGGAGCAGGGCGCTCGCGGCTCGCGGCTGCGAGGCGACTCCACAGCCTCAGAGGAGAAAGAGGGAGGGAGACAGAGCGGGCAGGGGGAGGAGGAGGGAGGAAGGGTGGGGAGACGGAGAAGGAGGGAGGGACAGAGTTCCCGCCTCCTCCCTGCAGCCAGGTCCAGCCCGGCTTCAACAGCTGGAAACCTCTGCTGGAAGGGGCGGGGGTTGGGGGGGGCACTAAGGTTCCGGGAGACGGGGCGTGGAGGTGCAGGGAGGGGGTGGAGAGAAGAGAAGAAAGAGGTGGCTTCTGCCCACTCCCACTGCCCAGGTATGACGGTCGCTACGGAGAACGTGCTCTCCTTAGGGCGAGAACCAAGAAGTTGTCGCTCCAACACCCACCCTCCCAACTCCTCCAGACAGATAGCCTCGATTTAGGGTTTTTAAAAACCCCTTTTCCGAACCTCCCTTAGGAACCCGATCCCCCTGCAGCTAGACAGCTCCCAAATGTCTCGGGCCACTCCCTAGTCCTGTCATTTTGCACTCTCTCAGACAATCCTTTATTTTTTTTCCTGCCTTGTTCTCCATAGGGAGGTGGATTGCTTTAATTAAACGTATTTATTAAATTGTTACAATATGCCTGGCCCAGCTGGGTGCTGGGGACACCAGGATGAATGTGACAGTGCCCTGCCCTTTCTGGATTCCCATTTTGTGAAGGAGACAGATGAGTGAACAGGTAGTTAGAGGGCAGTGGAAGGGTGCTGAGAGCAGGCAAGCACATGGGGCCTGGGGGCCACCAAGGCACTAGGGTGTGGGGACAGGATCGGTCTTCTTGGGGACGGTCTCATCTGAACTGGACTTAGAAGGACCTTGGGAGCTGAGCAGGCAGTCATGGAACTGCGAGTAACAGGGCCCACGGCCTGGGGGCCAGCGTCTCAGCAGGTGACAGTGTGGCTGGCACATAGACCTTCCAAGGCCTTTGGATTGTGTCATTCCCCACTGCCTTCCTTAGCTAGCTCCTTTCATTCACCTTCTAGGTCTCAGCCTGATACCAATTCTTCCAGGAGCCTTTCCTGATGGCCACATCCGGGTCAGGAGCCCCCTCTATGTATGGCTCTGGAAGCCCCCAGTCGTAGATGGTATGGTAACCGTTCATGTGCCTGTCTCCCCCACTGGACTGTAAGCTGCATGAGGGCAGAGAGGTGTCTCTGTGGCTCACTGTTACATCCCATGCTTGGCAAAGAGCAGGCCCTTGATAGATGCTTGTTGATCAACTGGCTGATGGAAGGCAGTGGGGAGCCACTGGGGGATTCTAAGCAGAGCCTCTGACGAGAGCAGGCTAGCTGCATGCAGGGAGGCCAGTGACCAGAAAATGGCAGTAACTAGGGTAAAAATGACGCACACCTGAGCTAAGCCAGGGGCGAGCAGGATGGAAAGGAGGAAACAGGTGTGGGTTAAGAGGTAGGAGAAGTCAATATTAACTCTTCAGGGCCTGGCTTTTGGAGAGTGTGGATAAAGCCATTTCAGAAACCATGAATGAATCACCCAGGTGCACCAAGCCTTTCCTCCTCCGGCCAACATGCCTGTGTTTTCCATTGATCTGGTTGTTTTTCTCTGGCCCCCGATCATCTTCAGGGGGCACTTTCATTGTGTATCCGTCCCTGTAGCT